GGGGGGGGGACATGAACCAACTGGTTCATGGCTGAACAGTATAAACAGATTAATATCAATGAACTGATTATTGATCAAATGAACTGATTGGTAACAATAGTCATGAACTGATTAGTGACAATAGAACCAAAATCACAGACACAACTTGTGACTGATAACAACATCTCACACTGTGAAGCATGCAGACAGAAGTGAGCTAAAACAGAGTTCCATGAAAAAACAACAATATTCATTCTGTTAGAGCACTAAGGACAGAATGTGTCATGGAACGAGCCGTCACATCACGTAGGTAAAAGTGAATAAATGAGCAGGGTGTTGACCATGCAGCCGCAGTGCAAATGTCCTGCGTTGACATACCATTATGCAAGGCAGTCGAAGATGCGATACCCCTGGTCGAGTGTGCTTTGAGGTTGACAGGAGGCTCTAAATCTGATGCTTGTAGGCTTCAGAAATGGCCTCACACAGCCAGTGTGACAAGCGCTGGGTGGATAACGGGCGACCTGCAGATGCATCTCTATAATGCACAAACAATTGTTGAGTTTGACGCATTGCAGCTGTGCGCGCTATGTAACACGTCAACGCCCGCACCGGACAGAGAAGATGAAAAGATGCTTCTTCTTCTGATCTGTGGGGGGGAGGGAAAAATCCCTCCAACGATATCTCTCTTGATTTAAAAGAGCTCGTGATGTTTTTAGGCATAAAAACTGGGTTTGGTCTTAAATCAGCTGAACTACCGTCAGCCTGGATTCTGAGACATAACGGAGCGGCAGAGAGGGCAGATAAATCACTCACCCTCTTAGCGGATGTTAAAGCCAGCAGCAGAGCTGTTTTAAGAGACAAGAATTTAGGTGAAACCTGATCCAAAGGCTCAAATGGGGCTTTGATCAGGGCTCGCAGGACCAGCGTTAAATCCCACTGTGGAACAAGTGGGCGTGAAACAGGCCTACGTCTTTGTACACCTTTTAGAAACCGCTTCATCAGCAGGTGATTAAAAGCTGTTCTGTCTCCGAACCCTTCGTGGCAGGAAGAGATGGCTGCAGCGTACGTTTTAATCGTGCTGAATGCCAACATCCTATCCATCAGCTGTTGTAGAAAAGACAACACGCCGCCTAATGGACATGAGGTGGCCTCTAAACCTTTCTCTGTACACCAGCGCTGAAAAGCTGTCCACTTTGATGTGTACAGAGCTGTGGTAGATGCAGCATGTGAATCTTGAATTGTGCGCACTACCTCCTGAGGGAGACCCATCCTCTCTAAGCGGGACCGCTCAGCGGCCAGACCCACAGGCGCTGACCTATTTCTGGGTAACTCCTGATCGCTCCTCCTGCTTGAAGGAGAGCATCCTCCCTCCACGGCAGTTTCCACGGACGACCCGACAACAGACGTTGCAGGACTGGGAACCATGGTGTGTTCACGCGCTCGGGAGCTACCAGGAGAGCTGTCAATCCCTCCTCCTGAACTCGGTTCAGGAACCGTAAAATCAGAGGAGGTGGGGGAAACGCGTACAGAAGCGTTTTGGGCCACGGGCTGTGAGCAAATGCATCCACCCCCAGCGGTGGATCGTCTCGCGGGCTCAGGGAAAACCATAATTGACACTGAGCGTTCTCTCGCGTCGCAAACAGGTCCACAGCTGCTTTGCCAAACTTCTGCCACGTCTGAAACATCAGGTCTGGATGGAGGGTCCAGTCCGCGTGACGTGGCCCGCCCCTGGACATCACATCTGCCCCTCTGTTCAGAACACCGGGTATGTAAACCGCTCTGATGGAGAGCAGGTTTTGGTGAGCCCAACACAGTAGCTTTCACGCAATGTGTAACATCTGGGCTGAACGCACACCCCCCTGGCGGTTTATGTACGCAGCAGTCACCATGTTGTCTGTGTGAATCAACACGTGTTGATTCTGTAGCACGGGAGCAAAGTGATGAATCACATTCAGCACTGTGCGACACTCCAAAACATTGATGTGGGCTGATGTGTGGTGGGGCCACAGCGCCCCTACTGCTTGAGATAGGCATGTCCCCCCCAACTTGACAGCGACGCGTCCGTGAAGACTGACACGTGTGACGTGGGACTGCTGACGGGAACTCCCTCTGACAGAACCAGGATGTTTCCCCAGTGTCGGAGGTCTGCTCTCACGGAGGGAGGGACAGTGATCATCCGTCTTTTGTGTTTTACTGGATCCACACGCAGACGCGCAAACCACCTCTGGAGGCGTCTCATGTGTAACAAACCCAGCGGAACCACTGTGTGAGCTGATGACATCATTCCCAACAGCTTCATGACGGAGACAGCTGTTATCACTTTGCCAGGTCTTACGTGGCGGAGTTGACTTTTAAAAGTGTCGATTCTCGTTTGTGATAAGCGAGCCTTCATGGTAATTGAATTTAATTCCACTCCCAGATAAACAATTGTCTGGGCCGGGAAAATCGAGCTTTTCTTCCAATTTATGGCGAAGCCCAGGTTTAACAGGTGTGATGCCAACACCTGAGCCTGCATCAGCGCCTCCTGTCTGGAGTGTGACAGGAGCAGCAGGTCGTCCAGGTAAAACAAAACTCTCATCCCTGCTCTGTGCAGTGGATGCAGGGCTGTCTCCACACATTTTGAGAACGTACGAGGCGCGAGGGAATACCCGAAAGGCAGCCTGTTGTACTGATACTTCATCCCCTGAAAGGCGAAACGCAGAAATTTCCTGTGTTTTGGGATGATCGGTATGTGAAAATAAGCATCTTTTAGATCGATGGAAACAAACCAGTCGTTTCTCTGGATGTTGTCCAACAGCTGTCTGTTTGTCAACATGTGAAACGGTCTGTCCATGATCGCTTTGTTGAAAGCTGACAGATCCAGAATCGGTCTCATCCCTCCGGTCCTTTTGGGGACCAGGAAGTAGCGTGAGTAAAACCCTGTGTTTTCCTCTCCGTTGGGAACTCTGGAGATTACGCCTTTTATCAGAAGCTCCTGAACTTCTGCATTTAAGGCTGAGATTTGGTCTGGTGATGACAGGACCGTCTCCATAACTCCTCCGAACGGAGGGGGTCGGGTTGCAAATTGCAGCGTGTAACCCTTGCATAACACTCTGTCCATCCATCTGTCCGGCGAGCAGGTTTTTAGCCACTCTGTGTAACGTTCGTGGAGTGGACGTGCATTTAAGTGATGCGCCGTGTTTTGAACGGATGTCATCCAATCCTCCGCCTCGACCGCCATCATGCGTCGCGGAAATGTTTTCCGCGTGACCCAAGGCGAGGCTTCCTCGAAAGGGCTGTTCTGCACGCGCCCGTGCGCTGTGTCTGGATCGCGGACCAACCTTCATGTCCGGGCGGGGCGGTGTGTGCCGAGGCGAAGCGTGTGCCAGCTGATGATGTCGTGAGGCTGCACGTTTAACGTCGCTGTGCGAACGTTGAGAGGCGGAGGGCGTGACTTCATCAACGCCGTGCTGTCGGAGTGAAGGTTGTGAGCCTCGCGGGAGCGCACGTTTTCTCTGGAGGGACGCGCGCCGCTCTCGCTGGGGGCGGGGCTCGTCGCCGGGTTCGTTCAGCTGTCTCACGCTTATGCTGCTGTGAGCTGCTGATCGCTGAGACGCGGTGGATGACGGCCGCTCACGTTTGCTCAGGTGAGGCGTGTGTTGTTTTCGCTGAGAGCAGGGACCTCCACCGGACCCGGCCTGCGGTCCCACATTTATACCGATGTGAGCCGGTGAGCGCCGGGCAGCTGTGCGTGCATCATCAACACAGCGCCGTTTGGATGGAGGCTGCTTGCCTCGCTCGGGTGCGCGTTTAACACCACTTGGGTGGTGATCGTGCGGGTCTGATTTATAACGAGTTATTTCGCTTACCGTAGTGTCGAGTGAGCGTCTCGTCATGTGTTGGAGCGGCGGTGGGTTTAAAAAACCTTTATTTAAGGACACCGGCTCTTTATGTGTGGAGGATGTGTGTGTAGCGGCTGTGAGCTCATCCGAGCTTACAGACTGGCTAAAAACAGGCACTTCGGTCATTGAAAAATCATTTATTTCAACTTCTGTGTCATTTATACACACATCCTCCGCAGACCGTCATTTTTTAAATCTTCTCCCCCGTGAGCCCTGCGATTTGTTTGCCCCGAGCGCCGTCTGCAGGCGATCTCTGGGGAAACGCTGAAGTGCAGGTTGCCGGAAAGAGGGGGGGGGGGTGGTCTCTGATGGGCGGGGCTGGTGGTGGAGCTGAGCGAGACGAAGCTGCTGCGGCCGTGGAGCGCCGATGTTTCTGCCTCTGCTCGCGACGATCTCTCCAGCGGGCCGGGGGACGGGATGAGCCGCGCGGCTTGATGAGATGGCGCACAGCTTCTGACATCTCCGACTGCTTCGAATTCGCCAGCATGGTTTTTAAGCTGCTTCCGAACAGCGCGTCCGACGTGATGGGGCCCTCCATCAAGTCCTTGTGCAACTTTTCCGGCAGCGAGGGAGAGTGACGAAGCCAGGTGGAACGTTGGATTACCATCATCCACGCTGCAATCCTCGACAGGCAAACCGTGGAAGCGGCGCACATGTTGAGGATGGCATCTGCCGACTTACACAGGGAGCTCTTTGTCTCCTCCGGCAGGTCTGCGGCCTCCAGTCTCTTCGACATGCTAAATGCTAGCAGCGCCACGTTGTTGCTAGCTGCGGCCACCTGAAAAGCACACTGGTGGGCTCGATTGGAGAGCGCGGTCACCGCCTGGTCGTGTTTCCCTGGAGGGACGGGACGCTGCTCCAACCTGGACAGCTTCGCTCCGAAGGCTTCCGTGAGGCTTGGCTCAAGGGGGGGTACCGAGGGATAGCCCCATTCGGTGAACTCCTCCACTCTGGTGATGGGAGCGTAAATGGAGACGGGTGCCCTTAACCTACCAGGACCGGCTGCGGCCTCGTTCCAGTACGATGTCACCGCTGGAAAACGAGGCCAGATGGGATCAAGACGGTTAGCCGGCGTGGAGCCAAACCTTCCCGCAAGATCATCCGATCTGAGCGGGGGGGGGTGGGGGGGGGGGTGGTGAGGGGACGGAGAGCCCCTTTACGTTAGCAGCTTCCCGGATAATGGCGGGCAGCTCCGAGAGGAGTGCGCCGACGGCAGGGAGCGGTGTGGCCGTTGAGGCGGGAAACCTCGGGGGAGTCGAGCATCCGCTCGGCCTCCCTCTTTCCAGCACTGCGCTCCCCGGGAGGGAACGAGCGTCGGGGCTGCTGCTAACGTCACCGGTCCCAGAGGAATCATCCGATTCACTCCGAGAGCCGGCGTTGAAGAAATCCATGGCGTCGTCCAGCGAGCAGTCTCCCGCCACGGACAGGCAGTCCTCGATGGTAGCCTTAAACAAGGCTGCTCTCCTCTGCCTTTCCTCCGGTGGAAGCTCGTCACAGAGGCGGCAGGAGGAAGCGCGGGCGACGTGGCGGGGACCCAGGCATCCTTCGCAGGTGTCATGCCGGTCGAAGCTGAGCAAGTAACCGGTCTTGCAGGAGGGACACAAGCGGATGGTGCTGGAGCTGGACATCTCGTTGAAAGGTCAGTTGTTTTTTATATTAGCTTGCTGAAGAAAAATGGGAGCAGATTACCCGCTCTTAATGTAATTTATACGGATCGGGTGGGGCCCACACAGCAGGTGGGCGTGGACTAATTTTTTCAGTATGATGCTTGCGCATAACAGGATAAACCCATCAGCGACAGCCTTAAAGGGCGAAGCCTATATGACATAGAACACAACTAGTAATTTAACATGTTTCATTAACTAAAACTGGAGACATGAAGTATTAATGTTGATAAATTGTGGTACAGAACAGTCAGATAACGCTTCACAATGGCAAAAAAAAGTGTCGTATTTTCATCAACTTACTGGAGAAAACACGGAGAATGAACTACGTTCAATGCTGAACCGCTGCTGTTTGGAACTATTTACCGCTGCGTGACCCACGTGACTTCCGCATTCCATTCTTTCTATGGGAGTCTATGGGAGTGTCGGGACTCTCTCTTTATGGGGCTCTGGTTGTTCAAGCCAAGAGTCACAGCACTGGCGGCTGAGCACCCCCAAAGGTCAGAATCTAGAATCGCCTCTACTTTAAAGCGTTTTGTGTCGCTGCCTGTAACTTTCTTCACAGCATGTGGATGAGCATGTGTCACATCTTTGTTTCCTCCTCAGTTCTCTGAGATTATCCTGTTAGTGTGTGGAGGAGTAAACCCAAGAATATCCTCAGTGATCTGCCTCCTTCCGCTCCTGCTGACTCATGGACTCGACACATCACAGCCAGGTGCAAAGGACCATGAGCCGGCCAGGTAAGACCCGCTGTCTGAGCCGCACCGTGGGTTTAATAAATGCAGTTTGGGCTCTTCTCGGGTTTGATGCTGACTTTCTGCTAGCTGAGTGTAGCTGACGTTAGCTGCGCGCGCAACAGGTTAGCCGCTAGCTGGTTAGCCGTTAGCTCCGAGGAGCTGTCAGCACCGAGGACAGCTCCGACACGATTTTACCCTTTATTAGACAAAAAACAGCAATAATACACTTATTTGTTAATTATAAAACGACTAAAGGTTTTAAATCACGCCACTTATTAGTCACGATGTTTAGTGATTATAAGTAGCAGGAACTCCTACCTAAAGTAATCATTTTAAAAGATTTATAAATAATAACATCTCAAAATACTTTTTTTTTGTAAGCATAAATGAGTATATATTTTAAACGTACTTTTTAGATCAAAGTATAAATCCTGCTAAAGTTCCAGTAAAAAGCTGTTGGCATTAAAACTTTCAGACTTTTATGATACTTTGAATGATAATAAAAGATAATCAACGACTCTTCTACAACGTCACAGCTGATACTTTACTGGTACTAGTCAGTGGGACGGTTCTTCATCCGATCTTCTTTAAAAATAGAGTTTTGCTGTTATTCTCACACACTGATGGAGTGTAATCTAATTACAGATAAGCTCACGCTTTCTAGTTATTCTCTTGTCTTAATCTTGATTTGCGACCTGTTTTCTGGTGTCTGTCTTTAAGGTTTTGGTGAGACTTCAGTGAACTTCTCCACAGGAAATGGATGTTCACACATGAATTCAGCGGAGAGTGATTTGGACAATCTGCGTTTTGAACTTGCAAAGGTACTGTGTCTCTTCTGGGGCTTTCGGCACTTTGTTCCTCAAAGGCAGCTAAGACAATGGTGTCATGTCTGTCCTTTCAATTCCAACAGACAGAAGATGAGATTCAGACCCTGAGGCAGGTTCTTCTGGCCAAAGAAAAGTATGCAGCAGACATCAGGAGGCAGCTGGGCCTGAGCCCTCTCAGTAACGTCAAACAGAACCTGTACAAAGGCTGGCAGGAAGTCCAGACCTCAACCCCGTAAGGTTTTATTATTACAAACCATTTATTCAACCAATGACATTAAAAGTCTCATTATCAAGAGAGACCTGGCCAAGAACGGTGGCAGCACAAATCATACAACCACAGATATAAAAACAAGATTAAAATACACAGTGGTAAATGAAAGATAAAAAAAAACACCCATAAAAATTAAAATGGGACTAAAAATAGAATTTGATATCAATTAAAACATTTACAAACAAAAGCCTCATTGAGAAACTGATTAAGAATGGCCTTAAAAACATTAAATGAGACCAAGTCCTTCAGCTTCAAGCCCTAAAGCTGTTGACTCCAGTCTGAGGGAGCAGCAAACTGGAAGGACTTTTTGCTGTGATCAGTACGAACCTTAGCTATGATTAATAAAATTAACTTATTCAAGCACAGAAGATAACCTCCTGAACATTTCCTAACACAGGACAGGAGGTAAGGGGGAAGTAAACTCAAGGTGGCTTTAGTAAATAAGGCTATGCCAGGGATAGAACCTGCAGGTGGATAAGGCAGGTCTACAGAAGACAGTGGTGGGTGAAGGATCCAGAACCAGAGAAAACACGTAGGAATTCATGATCTACAGAGTCCAACGTATGCAGCCAGTGAGAAGATGCGTGCGCATAAATCATGTCTCCATAGTCTGATAGGAACAAAAGTGGCAGCGACAAGACATGTTCTAGCCTCAAACAATAGACACATCTAATTTTGAAATAAAAACCCAACTTTAACTTCAACTTTTTTACCAGCTGTTGAATGTGGGGATCAAAGAGCCAGAGATTCATCAATAATAAAACCAGAGTATTTATACTTAGACAGTACTTTGATCTAAGAGCCTCAAAAAGTTATAATGGGTGGTAACAACTGTGGTTTAGATAAAGTCTTAGTATTAGGAAGAAGCATTACTTTTGATTTGTCAGCATTCATAACAAGTTTTAGGTCACCCAGGTTGGACTGAACCACATTAAAAGCTGCTTTTCAAATCACTTTGTACTGTGTTGGCAGCACAATATAAGACAGCATTATCAACATAAAAATGAAACAGCACGTGAGCATACATATCTGAATTGTTAATATAGATTCTAAAAAGAAGAGGACCTAGGATAGAGCCTTGTGGAACACCATCATATGTTTGAAGACAAGTGAAAGAAAGACCTTCCACCTGCACACACTGACCTGTTAGACAAGTAGTTCATTAATCATTTTACCGCCTGCTGAGATAGTCCAATGTCAAAGAGCCGTTCCAACAAAAGTTCATGGTCAGCTGTATGAAAGGCTTTTGATAAATCAAAAAAGAGAAAGCTGCACAGTGTTGCTTTTTATTCATGCCTTGCTCTAAAACCAGACTGTAAGTCAGTTAAAATACTATTACAATGTTAAAGTCTTCCAGTTGTTCACTGACTCCAGAACCTTGGCCAGTGCAGACAGCTTGGAGATGGGCCTGTAGCTCTTCCCATTGGTCAGGTCTCCACCATTAAAGAGGGGAAGTAAGTGCACTCAGACTTCCAGGAACATGGGGCTCTGCTGAATACATCAAACTGTAAATTTATAAGTTACTGTTATGAACATTTGGCATGCATTGTCTCACATAACCACATCAACACTGGAAATGTCCTCAGTCACCCTCTGAAGTCCACTCTGATCTTAAAACTGCATGTTTTGTTGTTTCAGATATCTGACAGCCTCTGCCACACTGGAGGACATCAGCCACTCCAGCGCGTGAGTCTTTTTTCCTCAATGTTTTGCCCTGAACAGTCATTAAACAAGCTTCCCTCGTAAGAAGCCGGTGATGGGATTGTTCGGGTCAAGCAGGATTGGTGTGCTGTTAATAGCAGCACGAGGAGCGGTGATGTTCACAGGCTGCACTACGAGCAGCCTGAAGGCTTTGTCTTCTGCAGCATATGGACAGTGGACACTGACGTCTATGAGCCTGCTGTTAGCTTGAACATATGTCTTCTGTATGCACTCGCATGTTATGCAACCCTGGCTCTGCTCGTTGGTCAGATATCAGATAATATGTTTTTCTCTGCAGATATGCGAGAACGCGGGACGGTCTTTCTCATGCAGGCCAGGTGACGTCCTCTGCGTTGTCCAGTGTGGGGGAGGTCCTCACCCGTAGACTGGCTCAGATGAGGTAAACCCACAGCTGCCTCAACTTCACCCTCCAGATGCACTCTTTTTATATTCATATCATAAAAACAAATAATTTACACGTAAAATTAAGTGGTGATAATGATGTCAACAAACAGGAAAATTAAAGTCCCTTAAAGGATGAAGAAGATCTCTTGTGCTCTTTAATGAACCTAAACCAACAGTTCGTCTTTTTATGTTATTAATAAATTTTTCTGGTGACAAATAATGTAGCTACTAACAATTAAATTTTTGAACCTACTTCACTCAAAAACTTATTTTAAGCAGTATATATTTTCTCCTGTGTCATAAATGATCAGTTCATGACATTGGCGTTATTATTTTAGATGTGTTTTTTGTTAACATTGTAGTTTATTTAGGATTATTAGACTGGTCAGATTGTACAGGAGTTACATGAGATAATGAGTATATACAGTAACCGTAGAGATATAATCTCCTTCAGTTGAGTTGGAGCCTCACTGTCCGTCTTTAAGCCGTCACAAACAAAAATCCTGCGTCAGCGGCCTTCAGCTTGTTGTTGTGAGGCAGCGTGACGTTGTTTATGCATCTGTCTTGTTTTTCTTCATGCTGCCAACTCACAGAGCCCTGCCTCTCCCAAGCCCAACACGGTAAGATTACCGAAGTAAAACAAACCCACAACAACAAACACAAAAAATAGTCAAAAATACAAACTAAGATGTATTTGTCTGTTTTTACAGCTGTAAACATGATAACAAATAATCTAAGAAGAGTTACATTTAAAACAAGTTCACAGTAGCAGGCTAAGGCATGATTTGTTTTTACTTTATTGGCTTTTCAGAACACAAGTTTTGATTTACATTTTAACTCATAAGCAATTGTAACGTAACGTGAAACAACATAACTCATCATAACAATACGTGTCAAACTCAAGGCCCGGGGGCCAAATGTGGCCCTCGTTGACATCTTATCTGGCCCACAATATGATATGTGAAACCTCAAATACTTCGATCTCTTTCATTTTTTCAGTAATCTTTGATTGTGATGTGGAAAGCACAACAGAGAACATAAAATGAGATCAACCAAACTATTACTGAGGAACTTGTGACCAAGAAAAGATGCTGGGGATCTGATTAGAGTCAAGGTAGTTTCTGAAATTGGCCCTTAGTTTGAAAAAGGTTTTAATTTTGGCCCCCTTTTGTAAGTGAGTTTGACACCCCTGTCATAACATAAGATATAAATGTTATGATTCTATTGGTGTGTGTGAATCCAATGGTGCAGGCAGACACAGGGAACTTGCAGGATAAAATAATAAAATATTTATTAACATAATAATAAGCTGACGAGGCAGCAATACTCAAAGAGGGAGTGGTGAGCGAGGAGACACGGAGGGAGACAGACTCAAAAGCTTTGTAGGACAATGTGCGGACACAGGGAACATAGACACGCAGACTTAAATACAAATGCCAATGAACAGACAATGACAAACACCTGGGGAAGGACAACAGGTGGCAGAGGCAGGAGCTGATTACAAGAAGGAGAAACACTGAGGAGAGCAGGACAGATAACACAAGAATCACAGAAACACAGATCCTCTCAGTACCCCACCTCTAAGGACGTCCCTTGACGTCCCAAAACCACATCAAACAACTCAGGTTGGAGGAGGGGGGAACCGATATGACAGAGGGCAAAAAGGAAAACACGAAGGAAAATAAAACAAAAACCAACAGGATAAAGCCTGGGAAACATGTACACAATAAGCTAACACAAAAAGCAAACACAAGGAGTTCAGTCGGACGACCCGGAGACCGTCCATCACTGAGCAGGAGCTGTGTCTGCCCAGACCCTCTCTGACTCAGGGCGACGGGAAGTGCAGAGAACATTGGAGATGCTGTGGTGGCTAGGGGTTGAACGACTACATAATTTTAAAACTCGACATTAACATAATAAAACTCGAGTAGAACTTGAGTACTTAATGACATCATAGGATTTAAAGATACAAAAATAAATAAATAAAACTGCAAAAAAGGTCATTATTTACAAAAAAAGACCAACAAAACATTGGGAGCGTATATTATGCTTCTACTATTTATCATACAGCAAATAAGTCACAGGAAAAACTAAACTATTAGTTATTAATATTAAGCTGCAAAAGTGAAGAAACGAGCAGCAAGTCAAAAATGAAACTAAAAACAGTGGGGGGGTCGACCACCCCGCACCACAGCCAGCTGTGGTGCGTATTAAGTTTAGTTTTAGAGATTAATGTGTTTTTTTTTATATATAGGTTTAGAGATTAATATTTTTTGCTTTTTGTTTGTGAAACAAGGTCAGAGGAAGCTGGTTCTGGTTCGGTCGACTGGACCCGATGTTACACCATATCCTGTGACCTGCAACAGTGCATGCAACACGGCCCCCTACGGTCACAATATACGGTGGTCACAAAATATGGTGCAACGCCGGTTTGAAACGAGCTCCAAACAGTCAGGAAGTTGTTTCATTTGCTGTTTCCTTATGGTAGTTGAACCAGAAGATTCATCTTTAGTGAAATATTTCCAGACTATTGATGCATTTCTACCTGTTTGTCAAGACTGGGCCTGCTCTGCTCCATCCGTCTGCTTGGAGGAATCCATTTTGTAACCCGCACCCCGTGCGGATCATGTGACACGTGACGTAATGACGTAACGGCGGTGTAATGACGTCACCGCAAATACTCGACGTGAAATTAAAAACCTCGATAGGTGTCCTAGGAATCGATGTGTAGATTACTCGAGTAGTCTGTTAAAGCCCTAGTGGTGGCAGACTAAGAGACCACTGGAGATGCTGTGACAGCAGACGAAGAGACCACTGGAGAGGCCACAACAGCAGGGGAAAAGACCAGTGGAGAGGCGGTTGATGACGGTGAAGAGACCACTGGAAAGGCTGTGGCTGCCAGTAAACCTATGAAGAGAGCTGCATGCAGTGAACCAGGAAAGAGAGCTGCAGCAGGAAGGAGAGCCACAGATGTTGAACCAGGAATGAGGACCGGTGGCGGCGATAAGTCTGGTGAGAGAGCTGCAGCTGGCGAGTCTGACAAGGGAACTGTGGCTGTTGATGAACCCAGAAGAGCTGCAGGTAGAACCAGCAGCTCTGCAATAGGCAAAGAGATTAGCAGCTCAGCAGTAGGCGAAGGGACCAGCAGCTCTGTAGCAGGCCAAGGGACCAGGGGATCTGCAGCAGGTGAAGGGACCAGGGGATCTGCAGCAAGTGAAGGGTTCAGGGGATCTATAGCAAGCAAAGAGGCCAGAGAATCTATAGCGCGCGTAGAGACCGGCGAGTCTGCAGCTGACATAGAGACCAGAGAGGTTACAGCTGGCATAGAGACCAGGAAGGCTGCAACTGGCATAGAGACCAAGGAGGCTGCAATTGGTATCGAGACTAGGGAGGTTGCAGCTGGCATAGCTACCTCAGGTACTGCAGTGGGTGTAGTTACCTCAGGAACTACAGTGGACACAGTTACCTCAGGGACTGCAGCAGGAGTGGCTACCTCAGGGACTGCAGTGGGCATAGCTGCCTCAGGGACTGCAGGAGGCGTGGAAGTTTCAGGATACATGGAACTCTCAGGAAGTGTGGAGTGCTCAGGAGGTGTTGAATCCTCTTTAGACGTGGGAACCTCTGAAGAAGTGGGAACCTCTGTAGATGTGGTAACCTTTGAAGAAGTTGGACCCTCTGGAGACATGGGAATCTCTGGAGACTCAGGACCCAAAGGAGACTCGAGAACAGGAGACTTGGGAACCACAGAAGACTTGGGGACCACAGGTGATGAAGAGGGAGAGTGAGAAGCATCCTCCTAGACCTTCTCGGAAGAGTGAGAGACGCCTTTTTTCATTCAACCTTTATTTATACAGATTGATCACATTGATCCTCAGAGACTCATTTACAAGTGAGACCTGTTTTACACAGACAAAAATAAGGAAAAGACAAAACACAAGGAGAGGGGAGGTAAAAAAAATTGTATCCCACACCGTGTCCTGGCCGGGGCACAGTGTAAGAGTTGATAAAAAAGACCTCATGCATAAACAGCAATATAATGACCTCATAATACATTTATGCATGAGGAGGCTGATGAGGGCAGTGAGTTGTCCGTGGACTGCCAGAAAGTTCCACGGTCCTGATAAAAGATAACATAGTGTATATCAGCCTGCTCAACTCTGACACAGATCTACAGATGTCCTCGGGAGGGGAGGGATGGGGGGGAGCAGAGCTTCTCATTCATGTAAACAACCAGGAGAAGTTTGAGATAGCTGGCCAAATCAAGGCTGAGTGCGGGAGCCAAATTCAGATAACACAGTTATTTTGGGTCAGGCAGACGCTATTGATTTCCGTATCTGCCTTCAAAGTTCTGCTGGTATGTCTCACTGGTGATTCCAAACAGCCAAATTTTGTGGTCACACCACTGAACCAAGCTTATAGCCTTCTCCAAGGTCAATTCCTTGCCACCAATGAGTCCCAGGAGCTGCAAGTGGCCTGCAATTCTCAGAAATCGTGTCCAGCTTATGGCTCAGTTCATACAGCGTCTGAGTCTGAGAGCTTACCACTTGGTACATTTCTTCATACAAGTCGGGCAGCTTTACCAAGGCCAGAATGGCTGCTGACATTTTCTGCATTTGTTGATAAACCAGGTAAACGCCAACTTCAAAAAGCAAAAATCCTGTTATCATAAATCCAGTTATATATGCGTCCTCAACATCCTCAATGGAACACACAAAGAGACACCATCTTCCACTGTCCCCAGGAATTCATAGTATATCCAGCTTTGAGTGTCCCTTCAGGGCATGAGGGCTCTCCTTCACCCAGTCTTCTTGTTGAGAAAATTTTATTACTTGCGTTGAGAGACCAACTGACCATATCCATAGTTTACAGTTCGGAGGATATGTAGTGAGAGGCTCTGATAGGAATCGCAAGACAAAGAGCAAAGCAGGAAGGAGGGCAGGAGCAGGAGGGAAAGCATCCGTTCTCATTGAGAGCAAGCAGGAAAGTGACCCTCTCTGGTCACTTGGTTCTGGTTCTTTGGTTCTTGGGTCCTCTCGGGTTCTGACCCCTATCGGAGGAAGAATGTGAGGCATCCTCTAGGACCCTCACAGAAATGTAACAAGCAGATGGGTTTGTCTGCTGAGAAGGATGTGCTGCTTCGTTGGCTGAGTTGGACTCTCTGGAGGTGGTGCAGGACACGCTGGCATGGGAACAGGACACGCTGGCAGCACAGAAGATGGGCTGAAGTTCAGCAGACTGGAACTGGGTTCTCTGTCTGCCCTTCTTATGACAGCCAGATGGAATGGAAGGTGGATCCACAGGGGGAGCCAGTCCCTTTGATGATGGTCTGGGTTGGCTGGAGTCTAGGGGTGACTAGATAAAAACGTGCAGTCCCCGTTGCTTCTCCAGCACCTCATCATGTAGCTCCTGCATCCCCAGGGAATCAATCAGTCCAGGCAGCCAACGGAAGTGGCCAAAAAAAAATCTTCCGTGACGACCAATCTTGCCGTCAGGTCTCTGGAGGTGGACACTGTTTCAATAAACTTTCATGTTATCTTGTGGAGCTGCTGTTCATCCTCCAGGGTGAGCCCCGCAAGGAACGGGCAGCTTGCTGGGTTCTCTTTTTGGTCCGCATATTCTCTTATGATTCTGTTGATGTATGTGAACTCAATGGTGCAAGCAGGCACAGGGAACTCGCAGGGTAAAATAATAAAAATATTTATTAACAAAATAATAAGCTAACGAGGCAGCAGTACTCTCAGAGGGAGCAAAGAACAAGGTGACATGGAGGGAGACAGAATCAAAAGCCTGGTAGGACAATATGCTGTAGACTTAAATCCAAACAGACAATGACAAATACCTGGGGAAGGACAACAGGTGGCAGAGGTAGGAGCTGATTACAAGAGGGAGAAATACTGAGGAGAGCAGGACAGATGACACAAAAACCACAGAAACACGCACAGATCCTCTCAATAAATAATTTTCATACAGCCGAACGTAACTTTGAACTGTTCAGCCATGAACATTAGTAAAAGCTTATCTCAGAGATGTATTAATTATTAATTTCTTTTTGTTTCTCACCCAGCACTCTGAATCACAGTATAAGTGTGCCAACCATGAGGTAAAATATAAATAATTAGTGGTAAAGATGGCTGTTTTTCTGTTTTAATTGGTCCTCTCGTCTCTCCAGACATTCCTCTACGTTCAGGTCTATGGAAGAAATTGTGGGAAATGTGAAGGTGAGTTTGTCAGGAACGCTTGCAGAGAAAAACAACATGTTGTTTGAATATTGATGGCCTGCATGTGCTTTGAAGGATAAGGTGACTGGAAGTCTGTCCAGTAATGGAGACACCTCAGGCTTTGAGAGAAGACACATGAGATGAAGACATTCTAACCTTCTACAGTCCATTATGAAGTAATGATATTTGACTCCTTTGTCTGATGGACATTGTCCACTCGTGTTTCTGTCAATACTGCGTGAGAAATAAAACCTTTCGTTTAAATAATTTTCAGATTGTTGTGAAGGTAAATTGTATACCATACTGATAAGTTCACAAACTCTTGTATTTTAACAAACCTGGGCTGTAAATCCATTTTCTAAAATTAGATACATGTACTGCAAAGTCTAACAAAGTAGAGTCAGGTCCTCTGGACGGATTCTTGTCGAAACAGTTCATCTTTAATCCAAAAGACTTTGTCAGTCTGAGGAGCTGCAACAAACTCCGTCTCATAAATAGTACCTTTTCATAGTGGGTCAAGTTTGTTGTTGACATCCAACTAGCTGTTCACATGTTAAAGGAGGACCATCAGCCTAAAGACTGATCGTTAGTGCCCTGATGGCTGCTTGCTATTCACAGGGGGCTGAGTGATTCCTCAGACTGACAAAGTCTTTTGGATAAAAGACGAAATGTTTCAACAAGAAGAATCCATCCAGAGGACATGACTTAACGTTGTTAGATTTATCTACCTGGATTATTGAGCAGCATCAGGACTTACTGCAACATTTTTGTACAGTCAACATTTTCAATAAAATGCATTAGAATGTGTGCAGTTTGTTGTTTTTATGAAAAGAAGTGTTATACTTCTTATTCGGCTATTCCCTCTTAAGGGGTCTCCACAGTGAGTTTCTGTGTCCTCTGTCCTCACTCTGTCCTCTGCATCCTCTCTCCAACTACCTCCATGTCCTCTCTAACTGCATCCATGTATCTCCTCTTTGTCTTTTTCCTGGCAGCTGCATTTCTAACATCCTTCTACCAATATACCCACTGTCCCTCCTCTGGACATGTCCAAACCACTGTCCCTCCTCTGGACATGTCCAAACCATTTCAGTCTGGCCTCTGTAACTTTATCTCCCAGTTTTTCAACATGTGCTGTACCTCTGATGATCTCATTCCTAATCTTATCCATCCTTGTCACTCCTAAGGAGATCAGAATCAGTTTATTATTGCCATGTCAATGAACGAGGTTCACAAACTAGGAATTTGCTTCGACATAAGGTGCGAATAGTAATAAAGTAAAATAAAGTAAAAATTAAGTAAAAATGAGAACATTACATAAGACATAAGACCTGTGTACACCCACAAATAAAGTAAAATTAAAAACATAACATAACCATATGTACACCCATACAATAGAGAACAATAAAAAAGCTTAGAGAACAGTACAGATGGAGTATTCAGTTATAATACAGATGTAATGTGACCAAAGCAGAAATTATGAGGTAGCATTATGAGTGTTCAGGAGTCCAACAACGGTGGGGAAGAAACTGTTCTTATGGCGGGAGGTTCTGGTCCGAATGGACCGAAGCCTCCTGCCTGAGGGGAGTGGTTCGAACAGTCCGTGTGCAGGGTGAGCAGGGTCAGCTGTGATCCGACCTGCTCGCCTCACAGTCCTGGAGACGTACAGGTCGTGGAGGGATGGAAGGCTGCAGCCGATCACCTTCTCAGCTGAGTCCACAACGCGCTGCAGTCTGAGTCTGTCCCTGGCAGTGGCCCCGGAGTACCACACCGTGATGGAGGAGCTGAGGATGGACTCCATGATGGCCGTGTAGAACTGCACCATCAGCTTGGCCTTCTTCAGATGTGGTGTTCCAGACACAGAAATTAATGAACATGTAGTTTAAAGGGTTTTGAGACTGTTTTGATTGTTCTCCTGTGTGGTGATTATTTGTATTTAAGTTGAAGATAAAGAATAATAAGAAATAGCCACCAAGAGGCGCTCTTGCTCTGTACAAGAGATGGGGACCGGAATTGTTGGTGTGTTCAGTAGAAGAAGTCCGATGAGGAAATAGTAAAGGAGCCATGAGGTACTTCCAGTTATCTGCTTGAATATGATTTTATTTTACCGAGTGTGTCATACACAACACTGAACATCTTCATTTCTGCTACTTTCAGTTCTGTCTCCTGTGTTTTTATCCATGTCTCTGTCTCCAGACCACACGCTGGTCTCACCACTGTCTTGTAAGAGCTGGACTTGTGTCTGTAGGTGGCAGCACATTGTCACAATGACCCCAACAGAAATAAATATTCATATACCTCGAGTCTGAATATTAATTACTAATTGGTATGCATAAACAATGTAAGCGGACGTTAGAAATCAAAAGAGGGATTTCTTTTGAATGAAAAAACAAGTTCCCTGACCGGGAATCGAACCCGGGCCGCGGCGGTGAGAGCGCCGAATCCTAACCACTAGACCACCAGGGATGTGTAAACAAACTGTCGCCGACTACCAATAAATAACTCATAATACGAAGTCATGTTTTGTGCTTTAAACCTCGAGGACTCATTTACAATGTTTTGAATGATTTCAGTTTTGATGGTTGTTGAAAGTGAAATAATAAACTTTATAAACACGAACAGAACCTACAGTCCATCTTTATTGATGGTTGTGGGTTTAAAGTTCTGGTTCTGCCCGTCTTGTGCTTAACAGCTGACACAGCGCATTAAATTAAACCTTTCTATCCTTCTTTCTTCTGGTGACGTGACGGGGCCGCACGTTCCGCTCGTCCCCAAACTGTCTGTCACTCAGGCCCCGCCCACGAGTTTATGCAGCACGCGCAGCTTCTATAAAAGCTGCTCACAGCGCAGTAGGCTTGACCACAGCTGAGTAGAGACAGGCAGGGTCCAGACCGGGTGTTGTACACACATGGAGCAGAGTTAGTCCTCATCCAGACCTTCTACTCAGAGTTAGTCCTCATCCAGACCTTCTACTCAGAGTTAGTCCTCATCCAGACCTTCTACTCAGAGTTAGTCCTCATCCAGACCCTCTACCTTCACAAGAAGTGCAGACCACCAGCTCCTACTCTGAAAGGTAAGAGAACTTTATCATTTGTGATGATTTCATGTTTTTGTAGGTTTTGTAAGTGCAGAGGTAGCTTTAGCATGGAGTCCCTGACCTCTGTGGACACAGAGGCTTCTGTGTTTATCTCCAAAGCCTTCAGCTGTTCAGAGTTAATCCTTGCAGCCTTCAGCCGGTTCCTTCTTCATCCTCTTAACGTCCTTCAACGTGTTTTGTCTTTGTAAACTTATACATGTTGCAGGAACATAATCATGATAAAAAGGTCCTTGTTTTAAATAGCCCAGGTTCTCAGCCAGCTCGTGCAGACCAGCTTGCAGCACGTGCACACATTCTGGATCACATTCTGGTAATCTGAGTCCTGGAACCAGAGCAGGGCGGCTGCTGCTGGTCTGCATGAACGGATTATATTTCATGGCTGCACAGGTGGCCTACAAGGCAACTACCCAAAATTAAAACCATACGCAGTTTCATTAGAACTCAGGTGGGAAATCAAATTATACAACGTAGAACTTACAGAGCATATCATTTATAGAAAGTACAGAAGGTATAGAATGTATAGAGTGTATCGTTGATAGAACGTATAAAATGTATAGAATGCATAGAATGGGTAGAAGGTATAGAACGTATAAGTTATAGATTGTATATTAATCTAATTACCGTAAACGGTTGTTTTGTCGGCTGTGAGCAGTTCAACTCACCACATGAGTTATACATTTATATCAACATATCATTTATAGAATGTAAATAACGTATCGCTTATAGAATGAATAGATTGTTTAGAAGGTAAAGTTTGCTTCCCAGCCTGATTTGTCTGTTCTCCTCTTCAGCTCACCATTTTCTATCAGCGAGCAGTCAGTTTGGAGAAAATGGCAGCGATTCCATCAAGCGGTTCTCTCATCGCCACACACGACTACTACAGAAGTAAGTCTGCCTCGCTGTTTATACTGAAGAAAACAGGATAATGTCTTTATACAGTATACTGAAGAAAACAGGATGACATCTTTATATACTGAAGAAAACAGGATAACATCTTTATATATTGAAGAAAACAGGATAATGTCTTTATATATTGAAGAGAACAGGATCATTTGTTTTGGGTTTTTCTACTAAAATCAAATGTAAATGTGTTTTTTAGGACGCCTCGGGTCTAACTCCAGCAGCAGCTCTTGTGGCAGTGCTGAGTACAGTGGGGAGGTCATTCCACACCATCCAGGTAAGAGAAGAGACAGACTCATTTTAAACATCTTAAATAATATAATAATCATACATGACACAAACATCACCATCAAAACAATCAAATGTTAATACATTTTTTTTGCACGCAGCTCTTCCAAGGCAAGACTCTGGACACTGGTGGACTTCGTTTTTCTTTGCAAAGCAGAACCAGCTCGGCATACAAAATGGATCTGACAATCAGAAGTGAGTATCAGAACATCGCCTTCTGAAGTTCCTTCAGAGCGTTTGGGTCGACGGTACTGATGCTTTGTTTGTGTTGCAGGAACAGAACCTACACGGTGACCGATGGTCAAGTGACTTGCATCGCCAAGGAAATGGGTTTGAGTAGACAACCCAGTGAAAGCAACGAAAATGGGAAATTAGAACCCGCATCCCCTCCACCGACGTCCTCCTAGGACCTGTCCCCCCACAGTGTCCTCCTAGGACCTGTCCCCCCACACCACCAAAAACTCCTTGGACCTGTTCCCGCTACCCAAACAACATCCTCCTAGGACATGTCCCCCCACCAACATCCTCCTAGGACATATCCCCCACCAACGTCCTCCTGGGACATATCCCCCACCAACGTCCTCCTGGGACCTGTCCCCCACAGTGTCCTCACCCTCATCTTGCCATCTTTCTCATAGTCCAGCAGTGGAGATGTAGATGATGGCGGTAATGATGATGGTGTTTTGTCTCCTTTAGTAAATGTAGTTTGCTTGTCTGTTTGCCTGTATATATTATATTTTTATTACGACCAAAACTAAAAAAAACCTCAAGTATGTAAAAAAAAAAAGTATTTCATGTATTTCTTGTAATGACTTATCATTTATTAATAACAATAAAATAGTTGTAGTCATTACTTTTGTTTGTGTTTCCTTACATCTGTTAAACAGCAAAACTCTTACATGATGAGTTTCTGACAAACATCCGGGGTATAAAAATAACCCATCAAAGCTGCAGACTAACTTAATCTGTTTACCGTTGATCTGATTAGAAGAGATTAATTCAGGTCAGTAATTGTCCTGTTGTGAATGTGGGTCACCTGCTTCTGAAGACGCCGTTAGAGAGGAAAGGTCTGGACAGGTGTAGAGACTGGAGCGCGCAGGACATGTTTGCTGCTCATTTACCGGTTCCACCACTTTACTGTTGGATGCATTCAACTCGATGGCCACCGCATCTACAGTGGTGCTGTAAAATTGGAGAACTCTTTATAATTTTCTATGTTTTTGCATAATATGACCTAAAGCATCCTCAGATTTTCACACAAGTCCTAAAAGTAGATAAAGAAAACCCAGTTACTTGGAGGAACTTTAGTCCATTCCTCCGTACAGAACATCTTCAACTCTGGATGTTGGTGGTTTCCTCACATTAACTGCTGCTCCAGGTCCTTCCACAACATCTGGATTAGATTAAGGTCAGGACTTTGACTTGGACATTCCAAAACATGATCTTTATTCTTCTTGAACCATTCTTTGGTAGAACCACTCGTGTGTTTAGGGTCATTGTGTCGCTGCATGACCCACCTTCTCTTGAGGTTCAGTTCATGGACACATGTTCTGACATTTTCCTTTAGAATTCTGATATAATTCACAATTCATTGTTCCATCAATGATGACAAGCCGCCCTGGCTCAGATGCAGCAAAACAGGTCAAAACCATGATACTACCACCACCATGTTTCACGGATGGGATAAAGTTCTTCTGCAGGAATGCAGAGTTTTCCTTTCTCCAAACATAACACTTTTCATTTAAATCAAAAAAAGTTCTACTTTGGTTTCATCCATCCACAAAACATTCTTCCAACAATCTTCTGGCTTGTCCACGTGATCTTTATCAAACTGCAGACGAGTAGCAATATTCTTGTTGGAGAGCAGTGGCTTCTTCTTCAACTCTGCCATGACACCATTGTTGTTCAGAGTTCTCCTGATGGTGGACTCATGAACATCAGTCAGTGTGAGAGTGAACTTCAGTTGTTAGAAGTTACTCTGGGGTCCTTTGTAACCTTGCTGACTATTCCACACATTGTTCTTGGAGTGATCTTTGTTGGTCCACCACTCCTGGTTAGAGATTCATGAGTCTAACAGCCTCAGGGTATAAGCTGTTCCTCAGTCTTGGTTCTACACTTAATGCTCCTTAACCTCCTTACTGAGGGGAGCGGGGCAAAAAGTGTTTGTGCTGGGTGAGTGAGATTCTTCATGATGCAGGTGGCCCTCTTCCTGCATCTGGAGGTGTAGATGTCTGTGATGGTGGAAAGGCTGACTCCAACAGTCTTCTGTGCAGCCTTCCATCCATCCATCCATTTTCTTCCGCTTATCCGGGGTCGGGTCGCGGGGGTAGCAGCCTAAGTAGGGAGGCCCAGACTTCCCTCTCCCCAGCCACTTGGGCCAGCTCTTCCGGGGGAATCCCGAGGCGTTCCCAGGCCAGCCGAGAAACATAGTCCCTCCAGCGTGTCCTGGGTCTTCCTCTGGGCCTCCTTCCGGTGGGACGTGTCCGGAACACCTCACCGGGGAGGCGTCCAGAAGGCATCCTAAACAGATGCCCAAGCCACCTCAACTGGCTCCTCTCGACGTGGAGAAGCAGCGTCTCTACTCTGAGTCCCTCCCGTTTGATCGAGCTTCTCACCCTATCTCTAAGGGAGAGCCCAGACACCCTACGGAGAAAACTCATTTCGGCCGCTTGTATCCGAGATCTCATTCTTTCGGTCACAACCCAGAGCTCGTGACCATAGATGAGGGTAGGAACGTAGATCGATCGGTAAATTGAGAGCTTCGTCTTTTGACTCAGCTCTCTCTTCACCACGACAGACCTGTACAGCGCCCGCTTCACTGCAGACGCTGCACCTATCCGCCTATCGATCTCACGCTCCATTTTTCCCTCATTCTTCTGTGCAGCCTTAACCAAACATTAATGTTGGAGCACAGGATGCTCTCCACTGCACACCTGTAGAAGGAAGTGAAGATTGATCTCCCTAGTCCAGCTTGTCTCAGCCGCCTAAGGAAGTAGAGTTTCTGATGAGCTTTCTTGATCTGACTGGTAGTGTTGTTGTCCCAGCTGAAGTTGTTACTCAGGTGTACACGCAAGTACTTGTAACTGGAGACCACTTCCACCATGGATCCTCCTATGTGCAGAGAGGGGGTAGGTGTATTTGCCCCTTCTGAAATCCACGACCATCTCCTTTGTCTTCTTCACAATGATGTGGAGGTTGTTCTTCCTGCACCAGCTTTCCAGGTGTTCCACCTCCTGCCTGTAGCTGGACTCATCATTGTTTGTGATGCATCCCTCCACCACTGTATCATCTGCAAACTTTACAATTTGACAGCCTGGATGGGTAGGTGCACAATCATACGTGAGCAGAGTGAACAGGAGGGGACTCGACACACAGCCCTGAGGGGAGTCAGTATGGGTTATGGTGGAGGAGGAGAAGATGTGAATCCTCACAGACTGCAGCCTGTTGGTTAGGAACTCCAGAACCCAGTTGCATAGGGAGGGGCTCAGTCCAAGTGTGAGGAGTTTATCAATCAGAGTCTGGGGAATCATGGTGTAAGGGCAGATGTGAAGTTCACAAAGAGCATACAGAATCAAAGTATATGTGAACCTCTAGGATTATCAGTTAATTTAAGGTGAAATTAGAGTTGGATGTTTTCAATCAATGGATGATGATCAGGTGTGAGTGGACACCCTGTTTCATTTAAAGAACAGGATCTATCAAAGTTTGCTCTTCACACCGTTTGATCTTCACAACATGTTTGTGGAAGTGGATCATGGAGGAATAAAGGAGATTTCTGAAGACCTCAGAAAAACAGTTGATGATGCTCATCAGGCTGGAAAATGTTACAAAACATCTGTAAAGAGTTTGGACTCCACCAATCCACAGTCAGACAGATTGTGTACAAATGGAGGAAATTCAAGACCATTGTTACCCTCCCCAGGTGAGTCAGGTCCGCTGGACAGATTCTTCTTGTTGAAACGTTTCATCTTTATCAGTTCGAGGAGCTGCAATAAACTCAGTCTTCTAAACAGCACCTTCTCATAGTGGATCAACCAATTTGTTGTTGACATCCAGAACTAGCTGTTCACATGACGAAGGAGGACCATCAGCATAACAGTTCATCAATTCAATACATCAGTGTCCTGATGGCCTTTTGCTATTCACAGAAGGATTTCATCCAGCCATTATCTTTTACCCGCTTCTTCCATTTTGGGTCACGGGGGTCGCCAGTGCCCATGTCCAGCAATCACTGTGCGAGGGGCGGGGTACACCCTGGATGGGTTGCAAGTCCGTCACAGGGACACAGAGACAAACGAGACAAACAACAATTCACTCTCTCTTTCACACCTAGGGACAATTTAGAGTTATCAATCAGCCTAACATGCATGTTTTTGATCTGTGGGAGGAAACCAGAGTACCCGGAGAAAACCCACGCAAGCACGAGAAGAACATGCAAACTCCACACAGAAAGACCCCAGGTCCAACCGGGGATTGAACCCAAGACCTGCTCGCTGTGAGGCAACAGTGCTAACCACTGAGCCGTCGTGCTGCCTTTGTGGCTGTGCAGAATGAGAGGTCTACACTCATCTCCAGGCCAGCTGTCACTCTTTCAGGGATGAAGATGTTTACATCCTTGATAGAGAGAAACGTTGGTTTGAGAGAGGAGTGAAGGAAGCCATCTTTGTGAAGAGACCTGTCCATTGTTTTTGGGATATATGTGACACAAATAAAACATGAGTTAAAGGAGTCTGTTGTGAGCAGATTGGTATGAATATATCAGATTATGGGTAAGAGATCAGCAGCATGGATAATCAGCAGCACAGATAAAGTGTCAAATCTCCAATTAATATATCATTACAGTGCTTTTCACCTGGTTAGAGGCTCAGTACATTTGAAGTTGACTGAGCTTTAGCAATATTTGAGTTTGTCGTTTTGCTTAGATGTGGCAGCTATCTTGCATTGTGTTGACTTCAAAGGTTAATTGCGTGTATATGTTCATAAAGTGATTACGTCTTAATAGTTTTAATAAAACTTGCCTAGTCCATCTTGAAATAGTTTGATAAGAGACAAGTTTGACCCAAACATTTAACGCCAACGTCTTAAAGTAAAATGTTGCACAATCTTTTAGCGCGTTGAATGAGTTGGAGATGAGTTTCAGTTTCCATACCAAATTTCAGCCAACATCTGTAAAAAAATCACTGAGTTGTAGTCATTTTGTGTTAGCATGGCTGACCAGCTCAGGCAGCCATCTTAAATCAGGTCCACTCCAAAGGTTAATCAGTTGTACGTGTCCATCCAGTGATTACTTTCTAAAAGAAAAAAATCCAAGCAGTGTTTAATTGAGCTATTTTGCTAACAGACACAGAAACACAGGCAGTTACATGATTTCCCTCTTTCATAGCGGTGGGCTAGTACATCAGACTATGTTTTAAATCGTGGTTTTATTTTTAAACATCCGTCCTTCCATTTTTATTTTTTTTTACCCACTTTTCCTTTCTGGGTCACGACGAAGCAGCAGACACTGTGTGAGAGGTGGAGGACACCTGAACAGTCTCCAGTCCATCACAGGGACACCTGGACAGATCTTTAGTCCATTACAGGGACACCTGGACAGGTCTCCAGTCCATCACAGGGACACATAGAGACAAACAAGACAAACAACTTTGGACACTCTCACCCACACCCAGGGACTGTTTCGAGCCACCAGTAGACCTAACGTGCATGTTTTTCTATTTGTGGGAGGAAACCTGAGTACTTGGATAAACCCACCTGTGCAGGGAGAACACCTGCCACACTTGCTGTGAGGTGAAAAGTTTAAACCCTGCTCTGCTGTCCTGCCTCACCTCAAAACCATTACAGGTAATGTTG